CATTGGGGAGATATTTGCACCAACTCTTTATGGTACACACATATGCAGTGTGTACAAAGGCAATCCAGAGAAAGCAATGCACACTTGAAATGTACATGCTCAAGTAGGCTATGTTGGCCTAAAATTCCCTTTTATCAAGCTGATCAACTTATAAAAAACAAGAGACCTTGCTTTCATCTGCAGCATTTTTATAATTCTGCAGCAGTTCTTTGGTTTTGGCCCAGCAGTATGCTAGTAGTTCTCTTTCTGTATTTGCTGTGGTAGATCTCAGCATTCCCATGACTATTGGAAAGATAAAATTGACCTTGCCCTTCTCCACAGAGATAAAGATTTTTTGATACAGTTTTTCACCTCCCTCTTGAACCAGTTAGGTTTCTTGTCCTCATTATTCCCCTTAGAAAGTTGTTCCACACTCTAACTCCTTTGGTGATTAGAAGTCTTCCAATACTTTAATTCATTATTAGTTTATACCCATTTCTTCTTCTGCTTAAATAGTTCTTTTCCTTCTCCAGTCGTCTTCTTCTATAGAAAGCAAAATAAAATTTCTGAGACCTCCTGGTCTCCTAGCTTTTAGTTTTTTCTCATAAGATAGGCTCTCCATCCTCTTGAGCATCCTAGCAATCCTAACTAGGACCTACTTTGAACATGGATGAACAGAATTGTATGTAGTATTGCAGATGTTCCCCCACACCCCGTGCCTTTTATGGTGGCATTACTAATTCCCTATCTCTACTGGAAATAATATGCCTGACATGTACGGGTAGCAACTGCCTCTTTATGGCCGCATCACATTGATGGTGGTGGCTCATATTAATCTGTGAATTAATACACCTTTCTCCTCTCCCTTTCATTGTTTCAAACTGTTTACAGCAGAAAATTTTACTGATCTACAAGTACAGGACTGTGTACTATTTACTCTTACATTTCACCTTGTTTCTGTTCTTCTAGTCCTCAAGGTGATCCAGTATTTCCTGTATGACATTTTATTTTCCTTCCATATTGGCAGTACCTCTCAACACATTGCTAGGGTTACTATATGTCTGCATTATCCTGGACACATCTTTTTGGGTCCTGAAATCTCTGTCTGGGTGTTTTTTTTTTAAATCCGAACAAACGTCTGGGATTTTGCTTTGCTCGCTGGTGGGAGTAGAAGGGTGATTGGAGACAGGGGACACCATGTACGTCTGCATGTACACATGCACGTGGTCGGTATACAGCTTGGTAGGGTGGTAGGAGCAGCCCAGACAGCTGGATGCAGGTAAGTCTACGGGGGCGGGGGTTGGAGGGCCAGGGCTTGGGGACTGTCAGGTAGTGGGGTGTGTGTGCATCAGGGGGGTGTGGAGGGGATGGGTGTGTGAAGTGGGGTGGGTGCCTGCCAGCACTGGGAGAAGCTGTCCAGGTGCAGGGGCTGTGGCAGGGTGGGGTGGAGGTGCCTGCCCATCCAGCGGGGGGAACGAAGTATAGCTTTGAAGTAGGGTTACCATATTGCCAGGTCCAAAAAAGAGACACCTGTCATGTGGGGAATGGGGGATGAGGGGAATATGGTTTGGGGGGGGAGGGCAGTGACAGTCCAGTGCCCTGCCCTTGCCCATTCTGTTGCCCCTCAGTGCCAAGCCACAGCTCCCGAGCCCCCTGGCACTGCCAGTGACCCACACTCCCAACCCAACCCACAGTACCACCCCCCACCAGTGTGCTATACTTCCAAGCCACAGCCGCCCACCAGCCCAGCCCTGCCAGTGCCCTTCACTCCAGGCCCGCAACTCCCTGCCCCTCCTGCCCTGCTGGAGGGGCCCCAGCTGTCCCCATTCTGACCAGGCCAGAGCACAGTGGCTCTAATTCAGGCAGGCAGTGGCGGAGCGTGCCTGGCCCCAGCGTGGGCTGGAGGGAAGAGTAGGGGAGGCTTGTGGCAGCCCCCGCCCTGGCATGGGCCTGCCGCACCCTACCAGCAGCCTGGCCATAGCCTTCCTCTCCCTCCATGCAGCGTCTCCTGGCTGCCCCACCCCTGCCAGCACTGGTACCGGCCCCTGTGCTGCAGGCCCAGCCATGGAGTTCCCCACACTGCCCTTAAAGCCCCGCCCCCGCTCCTCCTCCCCCCGCCCCCGCCGCGACCAAATGGATTTTGCTTTGCTCCGCTGGTGGGAGCAGGGGGAGGGTGATCAGAGGCAGCAGGGAACACCACATGGGTCTGCACGTGCCTCCGCAGCTGCAGGCAGGTATGTCTGTGCTCCCTGATGCCTCCAACAACCCCACCCCTCTGCTCCCACCAGAGAAGCAAAATAAATTCCTGGACCAGAAGTAGGGACAATCTTGGGGATAGCTGTCAGGCCTTCAGTCAGTGCAGATGTAGTTAGGGATCTTCTGGAAGGGCTAGACATTTTTAAATCTGCAGGTCCAGATGCCCTCCACCCAAGGGTGTTGAGGGAGCTGGCAGGGGTCATCGCGGAGCCCTTGGCCCAGCTGTATAAGCATTCGTGGTCATCTGACCAGGTGCCGGGGGATTGGAAACTAGCTAATGTGGTCCCAATTTTCAAGAAAGGGAGGAAGGAGGACCCAAGTAACTATAGGCCTGTAAACCTCACCTCGGTGCTCGGGAAGATCTTGGAGAGAATCATCAAGGAGCATATCTGTGGGGGGCCTGCAGGGGAGATCATGCTCAGGGGCAATCAGGATGGGTTCACCAAAGGCAGGTCCTGCCTGACCAACCTGATTGCCTTTTATGACCAAGTAACTAAATCCTTGGATGATGGTGTCGCCGTGGACATAGTCTTTCTAGACTTTAAGAAGGCCTCTGACCCTATCTCTCACCCCATCCTCATCAATAAATTAAGCGACTGTGGCATTGATGCCTACACAGTTGGATGGGTAAAAAATTGGCTGATGGGGCGCACCCAGAGAGTAGTGGTGGATGGGGTGTACTCAACCTGGCAAGATGTGAGCAGTGGGGTACCCCAAAGCTCGGTCCTCGGACCCACC